TGAGTCCCCCACAGCTCAACTTAACAGCATGGCTTTATTTCTTATATTTCGTCTTCATACTTTTCTACTGGATGGTTAAGACCAAGGTAAAACAGGAACTATGCAACAAGAGTTGTAGCTTTTTGGTGTGAGAAGAAATGAAAGTCTTGAATGAGGTGCTCACTAAGGTCCCTTGGCTCCCTGTCCTTATGTCACCCCATGAATTTAATGTTAAGTGACAGTGGTATTTGAGCTCTGCAGGCCTGTTTAGAAAGTTGGTTGGGTTTCAAAAATAAATCAATAAATGGCCAATGTTGTATAGATATACACAATGGAATACTATGCAGACCTAAAGAAGAACAAAATCTTGTCATTTGCAGGACAATGAGTGAAAATGGAGATAAGTATGTTAGGAAAAATTAGCCAAACTCAGGCAAGTGTCATGTTGTTCTCTTAAACATAGAAACTTACCAAAAAAGAAAAAAAAAAAAAGATGATATGAAAGAAGTGGAAGGGAATAAGGAATAGGGAAGAGGGTAAGGTTATGTGTGAAAACTGATGAAAGAAAGGCAGGGAAGTTAAAGGGGGAGGGGATGTACAAAAATATATTGTATGCTTGTACAAGCATGGCAAAACGAGACGAACCAGTCACACACACTAATGCAACTATGCCAAAAAAGAAAAACGAAGATCTGTTAGTCTTTGGTTACATGTTAAGCATAATTGTTAAGATTTTCACCACTACTGAATTATAAAAATTTAAAATTTTCAGAGTGCAGTGGCCTGGGTTTGATTGCCAGTGTGCCATGCTGGCCCCACCCCCAGGGCACCCTGAGACAGCAATTGAGATTGAGCGTGGTGACCCACACCTGTAATCCCAGTGCTTAGGAGGCTGAAAACAGGAGAATCACTATGAGCCCAATCTGTGTAGTCAGACCTTGTAGACCCTGTACTAAATACAGAAAATTAAAAAATAAAATAAAATAAATTTTTAATCTTTTCATCACATGATCTTATGCCTAATGAACAATAAATAACTGAAAGGGCCGGGGAGATGGCTCAATAGAATAAGCACTTCCCTGGCCAGCCCTGAGTTCAATCCCCAGTTCTGAAGAAAAAAAAAAAAAAACCAGCAAAGAAAGGAGAGGAATAGAGAAATTTGATATCAGTATTTTTTAAAGAGGAAAAAAATAGCAAGAACAAAGACAAAAACAATGAAACAGCACAGTAAAAGTGGTACAAATTTCATAACAAGAATAGAAAATTAATAATGGTTGCTATATTATTATCATCAAGTTTGTTACTTAGATTATCAGGCATAGGCTTGCAAGATCACACAACCAAACATTCGCTATTCCTTTCAATAAACCTTAATTTTTTTCTTTCTCCTTTCTCCTTTTAATTTTTAATTTATTTTTTAAAATTAAATTTAAAGAGAATATAAAAATAATAGATAAGGGCTAGCCTGATAGCTCAGCAGACTAAAGCATCTGTGTAGGCAGAGCCCAGAGGCTGGGGTTCAATCCCCAACCTGCCATGCTGGCCCTGCCCTGGGGTGGGTTGAGATGGTGATTGAGACTAGGCATGGTGGCATGTACCTGTAATCCTAGCACTTGGGAGGCTAAAAACAGGAGAATCACTGACTCCAATCTGTGTAATGAGACCCTGTAGACCCTGTCCTAAATACAGAAAAATAAATAAATAAATAAATAAAATAAAAATAATAGATATTAGAGACAATACACATTTCAAAGAACAAGATGAGAAGTATTCAACCCTGGTTTTATATTGTACATTGCTGTCCTAAATGAAGTTGCTCATCAATATTATTTTTCTGCTTTCATTATTTTATCTTCATTTTATACAATTGATCTTGTCTGACTTGGAATAAAAAATTATGGCTTAATGAGTTCATCTCACACATACCATAGATTTACTGCAAAGAAAACCATGACTCCCGTTCACCATCTTCTCCTTCATTCAGCAGATTCGGCAAGAAGAAAGACGGGAAGAGAGTTGAGGCTGATCCAAAAGGAGGCCCGAAGCAAGGGAACTCGCAAGAGGAGGAGCTGGAGAAATGGAAGGGGACCCGTGAAAGGTGAGCGCAAGGGTGGAGCCTTCTTTGCTGCCAGTCCGTGGTCTGCATGTCACTTGGCTATTGCCACAATCACTTGAAGAGAGTCACTTTGAGAAACAGGCTGAGTGCTGCAAAAGGGAAGGTTTCTGATCTGTAAGATTACCTGCCTTTTGGGGGAATCTTTATTATATCTTGGAGAACAAATGAACTTGTCGTTTTTATTTATAACCCTACTTTTTAAAAAAATGTTTTTGGTACATGGTCTTACTACACAGCTTGGACTTGTAGTGATCCTCCTGCTTTCAGCCTCCCCAGCGCTGGGATTAGAGGTGTGCACCACCACGCCCAGACTCTGTGGCCATCTCAGGGTGCCCAGGGTGCAGGGCCAGTGTGACATGGGGTACCAGGGATCAAACCCCAGTCCCTGCCCTTGCCTACGCAGGTGCTTAGTCTGCTGAGCTATCTTGCCGGCCCAGAACTCTACTTCTGATTCCATATCCACTCTCAGGTTTGATTATATGGTTGCATGTTTTTCCTGTGGTTTAACTGACAAATGTTTTATCTTTTAATCCAGAGGTCACTTTGATATTGATATTTGGAACTATCAAGTTCCTTGAGGTCTGTTCCTGATTTTTGACAGGCCATTGTTGTGCACCTCCCTAATTTTATTCTACTAAATCCATTTGAGTGGTGTAATTTGAGAAATGCATGTCCTTCATTTTTTTAAAAGCCACTGTCTTCTATTAGGCTATCAGCAGGCTGGAAGTATGTCGCCCATCTGTTAGAGGGTCCGCTTCGTTTACTGGAATAATGACACTTTGCAGGCCTCAGTTCCCCACTTTGAGCAACGTAATGTTTCATTCAGACAAGAGGTCCTTCACGTACCTGGAGGTTACGTCTGGCACTTCTCCTAAATGGATGTGTAAATGTCTGATTCGGAAATATGTAATTGAATATTTGTATTTCTCCTCAAAATTCTTCACATGCTCAACTAAAGCTTGAAGTAAGACTGAGAGGATGCAAAACTAGCATTAATTTTAAGTATATAACTCTGGCCTTATCATATAGGAAGTCAGATTTATTCAACTTTTTGTTTGCATATTAAGTTACATTAGTTCTACTAATTTTTAAAGAGGCAGCTCTTGTTTTTATTTTGTTGCTCTAGTATGTGTATGAGGAAAATCACATTTATTCATTGTGTTTTCTAGTACATAGCAGGGTGAGAGTATATACTATTAACCTTTGACCCCATCTTGTAGTCTATTCCTGTGGAGAAGGCTGACTTTATCACTAGTGGAAAAAAAAGCTACTTAGTCCTTTCTTGTTTTGGGGGAGGTTGATAAGCTCCATGCCAGGGTCACCAGAGCAGTTAAAAGGAAATCAGGAGTTATACATTATTGTTTACTATTCACCTGACAGAGCTACCACAAAGACAGGAAAGATATTCTCCACCATACCCCAAGACTCAGTAATCCTATAGTGTAAAATAAAGTTCAGGCTCAGGTTTTAATGCACATATTGGCAAAGGCATCTGTGTAGGGAACCTGTACCATAGATCAGTGCTGGCAAAGCCCTGGCACGCGTGCTGCAGATGGGCACACCCGGCCCTCTCTGCCAGCACACAGGCAAGGCTTGCCCCAGCTGCAGGGCATTGGATAACTGTTGTTTTTTCTAAAACTAAAACCTCAGTATTTGGGTTTAACTGCAGCTTAGGTACTTTGTGATAAATAAGTAGGTTTTGGCTTGTAATTTGGGCACTCAGTCTCTAAAAGATTCACCATCCTGGCGTGGGGCTTGGTTGCACCCCTGACTTCACTCACTAAGGCTCTGCATCCTGTCTCATCTTCAGGAGACTGAGCCTTTTGCTGAAATGCAGACATGACTTTTTTTTGCAGCTATGAACTTGCTTGAAATGGGGGTAAAAAATTCACAGTAGCTGGGGAGCTCTGTGCCAGCTAGAAAATTGATAACCCATAAAATAAGGTGGGTTGTCTTTAAGCAAGAGTTCATTTCCTTTCTGGTTTTGCCTTGAGGAAGCAGGTGCCTCAGGGAGTTCTGTTCTTAGAAGCAGGGCTGTAAATTCACCTCAGCTAACTATATAGACTTCAGGTCCAATTTTCTTAAAATACGTCTGGTCAAAATATTGAAAGAACTCTACTATTAGCCTCCACTGAAACCATTCCCCACACGTGAACACATAAAACACATCTTATAGGGGATTCTAAAGACAACACTGTCTCAATCAAGTGCTCCAGGAAGAGGTTGAAGGAGCTGATTTAATGGCTGTGTGCTGTAGAATGGATGACCAGGAGCATTTCATCAGCTCAGGGGCTGGGGCCATGGAGCTGGAGGAGGATGCTGAGCATCTGGCCTCGCTCCCAAGCCTGGCATCCAGCTCCTTGGCTCTCTGTCATCCCTAGGAAACCAGCTCACAGCTCCCAAAGTACTCAGCAAGGGCATCACACCACATGGGATAGCCATGGGAAAATACATGAATTAGATAGGGAATAGTGATTAAGGCTACTATTGTCTTTTTCCTCCTAATGTATTTGAAGTTTGTTTCCTTGACATGGTTTGAGCTGTCCTATTGATTGCCTGTTCCATCTGAGCTGTCATAAGTATAATTAATAGTTTTGCTTAGCATATCTCATTTTCATAGTATTGAAAGGTTTTAAGTAAAATATATAGCATGCAGTACTAGAACCAGCTAGGGCCAGTTTATAAGAATGGGTTGTTAAACTTTCAAGAATTTGATGACTTGGCTGTTTAAACATCGGTAACTTGAACTGGGCCATGGTGGGGATTTTTACAACACAGAAACTGGCAACTGCAAAGGTCCAGTTTACCAACACAACATTACAGGTGTAGAATAATTCTCTTCAATGCTTCTATCATAAAAAAGGAGGCAGAAAAAATGTCCCAGTCAAGCCACATAGCTTTTATACCAGTATTCCTCAAAATGTGGCCCATGGACCACCTAGGCGAGAAGGACTCCCTAGAGGAGCTCATTAAAAATGGAGATTCATGAGGACCATTCTCCACTTGCAGAATCCAGATCCTGAAAGCTGGAACCCAGCCATCTGCAGTCAGAGATTTTTCATTCTAACGTGAGAATGACTGGTTTGGAGAAATAGCGCTGAAACATTGAACTAGTCTTACTTTATGAAAAACATAATGCTTTTTTCCTCTCTGAAGCATACCACCTGACCGCATACTCTGATAAAAAGCGAGGGGCCCTTGCCACGCCCTCTCACCTAAGTAAATGCTAGTCCCTTTCTCTAGAATGCCTCTTTCCCCTGCCAGCATACTTACAAAGCATGAAAGTTCATCAAGAAAATTCCAGAAGCATAAAGAACTATGAACGCTATTAAAACAATATGTAATTCCACCCAGGCCCATAACCACTATTAATATTTTAATGAATTTCTTTCCTATTTACATATGTCCTTTGAAAACCTTGTATCCACTCTGCATATACAACATCTTGCTGTTTTCACAGCCTTATATAGCAGATATTTCTCCATGCCATTAATGTTTCGGAAGTGTCATTTTTACCACTGCCTAATATTCTGTAGTAACAGCATGCACTAAGTTATTTGCCCTTTATTGTCGAAGTAGTCTGTTTATATTTTGTGACTTTCCCAGATGATACATTCATGAGCATCCAGGAACTAAAGTCCTTACAGATTCCTTCTTAAATCATGTAATTCTTATCAAAGATTCAGCAGCCTAGTAACTGCTTTACCTTAGGTTTTTTTTTTTTAATCATAAGTTTACAGTATGCAGTGGCTGCATGCCTCGGGGGAGCTGGTGCAGAATGAAGATACAGCTTCATTCTGTTTTCTGCCCCTTCCTCCTCTCTTCACCCCCCCATCTCTTGGTCCCCTTCCCGTTGACAAAATATCTATATCTTGACTTCCTATTATCTGTCTTCTATTTTGTTCTGTATTTATAGTTTGGGTTTCTCAAATATTTTTAAACATCAAGGAAACCAGGTGCTACTTAAGCCCATGTGTCTATTTGCTTCACTTAACATTCTGGTCTCAAGATGCATCTGTGGTCCCACAAATGGCTCTAGTGTATCTTTCATTATAGTACAGTAGTGCTTCATTGTGTGTAAATGCCACATTTTCTTTATCCATGCATCTATTGGTAGATACATGGGCTGCTTTCAGCATTTACTTATTATGACTTGTGCTACTGTAAAATGGATGTGCACATGTCACTGTGACATGATGGCTGTATCTTTGGGAGGATACCTAACTGGGTTAAATGGAATTTCTATTTTTAGTTTTTTGAAGAATCTCCATCCTGGCTTTCATACTGGCAATCTAACCTCCACACTTTATATCATAGTTATATTATACTTCTTCATTTGTCCTATTATTTTTTTATGATTTTTGTATCAATTTATCTACATACCTGATTTCTGAAATCATACCATTTTATGCCACATAGGAATAGCTTAACCATAGTTATAACTATGAAAGGTTAAAAAAATAAAGTCCTAACATATTAGATTGGAGGAACAGAGTCTAGTACAGTGACTTTAATAGGAGGAAACCATTCTGATGTTCCAAGGGAAGTGTGGCTGTGCCTGGAGATATTTTTGATTCTCATACCTGCAGTGGCATGGAAGGGGAGGAGCTGCTACTGCCTTGTGCGGGGCAGAATCCTAAACCTTCCACAGTGTGCAGTACAGCCACTCAGCAATGAATTATCAAACCCTATGTATCAGTACTGCAGAGTCAAAAGCCCCTGTTCTGACGTCCAGACTTCACAAAGCATAAGAGAATGCTCTTGGATGTCCAAAAGCCATTGCTTCGTGATATCCTGTGGATAATACAGGGAAATACATAACGTACCAGATGACGTGATCTTCGAAGAACTGTTAGCTATTGTACAAATTGTATGGAAATATCACTGATGAGTATTTTATCAGTATAAACTTGCAAAGCTAAAGGCTTACTAGAGAATGTATTAGCCCCGGCAGCTGAGCACTAACATTAGAGATGGTGACC